GCTGGCGAGCCAACTTTGACGAGCATTTGTATGTAAACAAATCGTCTTTCTGTATGCATTTCCGATCATTTCAAATTTTCCTGCAAATATTTGCCTGTACATAATGCAAATTATAATCCGTATTACTTTCCTTTCGCTAAATATCTGCACTACGGCATACAACAATACAAATATAAGCATTTGTATGTGCAATTTAATATTAAATTCTATAATTATATGCAAATATGCGGAAGTCGGTAGCTGAGAAGGGTCGTTTGATTTATATTTGTTGAAATCTAAATCCCAAGCAGCCGCGCCCACCTCTCAATTAAACAAGTAATTCGTATTTATTAATAAATGCCCGTTACTGTATATACTTGTCTGTAGTTGTTTTTGTGGCTGTGTGTATTATACAGCTTTATTACTAGCGACATTTTCCAGTTTGTTATGTTGAAACATTTGTTAAGGAATTTACTTTAAAAATTTACAAGTTGAGCGGTAATTGATATTACACAAAGTGAATTGATATGAAAACTAGACAAGCATGTTTGTATGTGTAATCAATGGAATTTGTTAACTGGAATTTAGCCGATGTTTGGTTGGTCTAAATAACGAATAACTGCTAAAGCAGTATTTATATATACGAAAAAGTATTCCTTTAATTTAATTTAAACTATTTTTTTCCCGTTATTTATTATTATTATTATTTTTGTGTGTTTAAAATCACAAATTTTGAGCTAACTGTAACAGACTCCTTTATATGTGTAAATAATTATGAATTTTAGAAGAATTTTAGAAAAACATTAATAATTTATAAAAATTTTGAGTTTATTATTATTTCTTGCGTTTTATATCTTCGTTTTTACTTATCTCTTGATATTCTCCTAAATGTAGGCAATATTTTACAAAAAACGAAAAATTCTATTAATATAGTGACTTAGTTCGTTAACTTGAATTATTTACACAAAAAGAGAAGTTCTTTCAAATCCCCATTTAGTTTCTTGTCTTATCATTTTATCAGGCAGCACGAATTTTAAAATTTTCGAAGAAAATTTCGAAACCTTCTTCAAAGTAAAACAATACGTCGATAGTGAGTATCAATCTGTCACTTGCAGGCCACCTCCACCAAATTCTGCGATGTTATGAATATCGGGCCAGTTGAAGATTTATTCAGCTCAAAGCCGAGTTTGAATAATTGATGCTTATCTGATAATTCACCATTTACAAATGGTTTTTTTTTTGTCCATGTTTGAAATATGCTAAGAAGAATCGAGTTGATGGCATTTTCCACTATTTTACTTTTTGTCAGTACAATTTACATATACATATGTATGTTGAATATTATTTAATCTATCTATAAACTGTTAATTCAGTAGCTAATAGCAACTCTACACTATCGACTAAATGTATGCTAACTACTCATTTGACATTTAAAGCAGCAACATTCTTTATTTATGAATCAGACAAATATGAATGGCAGATTGCATATACCATAAACTTGTAATAGTATTTATTACATCTAGTTAGCTGCTCATATTATTCTTACATTTCCACCCAGCAGTGAATTACATCGCAACTGAGCAATGAAATGGGATATGCAATAATGAGAAACTAATTCCAGTTAATAACTAACACTTCAACAATTTTCGAAAAAATTATAGTTTTCAAATCTTTGAGGGGCACAACTAAAGAAATAGCCTAAAAACGGGCATATTTGGGAATTCAATAAAAAAAATAATATGTCTATTGTTTTAAAATTTTAAGTGTGTATTTAGTCAAGTTATTGAAGAAAGCGATAAAATTTTTTTTCGGGTTACAAGCGATCTGCGATGGCACTAAAACAAAGTTCAGAAGTGCTTCGGCTTTCTCCTTGCATGAAATCTGAAAAAACATTCTCGACTAGAAACGAAAAAATCAAAAATTGAAAAAATGTCGGCGTTTAATTAAAAGTAGAAAAAAAATCGATTTTTCATCAGTTCAAAAAATTGGTAAATCTCTATATGGTAAATTATTTACAGAATATGCAGAAAAAATTTTAATAGTGATGGTATTATTGTTTCCGAGTAATCACTTAAGCCATACGGAAAAAAGGAGCTTTGAAAAAAAAAACGCGTTTAGAGATAAACTATTGGAACTGATTGAACTAGTTCGTTACATATTAGAAGTGGTACATATTATACATATTTGAGGTATGGATTTAAAATTTTAGTATGTTATTTTTAAAAGTATAACCTATGGAAATTTTGAAAAAATCGATTTTGCTTTTAAATTTCACGCTAGGTAAGGGGCACCAAAACAATTATATTGCTCTTAATAATAATAAATATAACCACATATTTTTTCTTTTATTTAATTATAATACTTATCCAAGCGATCTTGGGGATTTACTTTTCGTTTGCCATCTTAATTGAAAAAAAAAAATTTCTTAACATTTTTATTTCGACTAGAATTTTTCACTACTGGGTTTAGCAAGCAAATGCACTTATTTATGCATGAGAATAGAAGTAGATCGTATCCACTTTTACAAAATTACACATATTTACATACATATCTATCAGACATTCGTGGGTGCACCAATTTGATCATTTTCACATTGTCAGCACAGGCTAACATATTGTATGTACTTGCGTTTGTGTGAGTGTGAGTTGCTGCCAGAATTATGCGCATACATATTACGAGTAAATATTATTTCGCTTTCACTTTCGTTTCGTGTAATAATACATTGTAATTCGGGTATTTCGTTTATTATTAACTGTGCGATTGTTAAATGTTAAAGAATTGCGATAATAGATTATATTATAGTTAGGTTAGGGTGCACATGAATTGAAAATTTAAAAAAAGTGTGTATGAAAGTGGAAAAAAATAATATTTTTACAATATATTTCTTACACAGGGTTGCCATGTGTATTTTAGAAATAATTTTTATGTTATAGTTATTTTTAGGGGTGACGATCTGGAGGTGAAGTGGAAGCTATACTAAGGCAAATTGGTCATAATATCGAACTTTATGATACTATCCCATATATCGTTATAATATAATATTTACACTCTGAAAATGGTATATCAAGTTTGCCACGAAGTTTGTAACACCCAGAAGGAAACGTCGGAGATCTTATAAAGACAAATATGTATGTACATAAATGTCCGTCTGTCTATTCGTCTGTCGACGTCTTTGCGAACTTGTTCTTTGTTTTTGAAATATTCAAATTTTTTTATTTGACAAGATATCTTTGCATAATTTGGCATATATTATTGTCCAAGGCAACGCTATATTTTCCGATTGATATCGGACCAGTATAGCATATAGCTGCCATACAAACTGAGCGATCAAAATTAAGATAACGATTTTTTATGCCCTTTTAAGCTATTATGTTAACTTATTTCCTTGTTGAAAGGTATTTTCAAAGATTTTGAAATAGCAAAACCTCTTCGAAAATGAAAATGTAGCTTTTCAATAACTTAATGGCAACGTTCTACATACTAATATATGTATGTACATAGGCAGCGCCACAACCTCCCCTTAGTCACATACATATGTACATATCTACTTCATACATACATATAGTAATGCGCCCGCTGGTTTGTTCGTTGATTTGGTTCAGCTTTGACTCAATCGTCATGTGCCGCAATGTAATCGCATTCGTATAATAATGACAACAAAGAAATCATTATGTCGTGCTGCGCTTGCATGTCTAAATTATACCGCTGTTCGCAGCGCACCGCCCCTCAGCGGGAGCTCATCCCCCTTTTATAATCTACAGTGGTGACATTAGCGCTTCATCGCTGATATTTTGTTCGCCTTTTCTTTGCTTCTTTTTTTTTCTTTCACATTCACATAATGACATTTTATTGTTGTTGCTGATGCGTTGCTCATTGTTGTCACATGTTGCTGGTATTTCTTTGCTATTATTATTGTTACTCTTTTCATTATTTTTGCCCCCTTTTCAATACCGATCCCGCTATAGTTACAGTATGTCAACAACATATAATATTTTAAATTCGTTATATATGGTTATAATACGCGTACTCTCGAAATTTGTAATAGAAAACTGTTTTGAATATATTCAGGAGAGGCTCACGTTGAAACATAGGTGCGTTTATGTATGCGTAGGTGCTCACACGCACGCTCGCGCAAACATTTCGTGATGGTCTGCTGCCAGCAAATGTCGACGCTACTATCTGCTCCCCTCTGGCTTCCACTTCTACATGCAAAATACAGCGCAGGGGGTTTGTAAATACAGTGAATCAAAGGTGATAGACACATGCATTTTGAACACATTTTAATACTATTTTGAGGTATCAAAAGTTAAGTTAAGAGCTTAACTCTAAATTTATTTCGGTCGATCCAGCCGAGAGCCGCTGTTAGTTGTCTAATGCTAAGAAGCCGATTTTCGAAAACAATTTGTTTAATTTTTTCGACGTCTCTATAGTTAACAGCTCTATCACATCATCTACGCTTTCCCACTCTAGTAACTGCGTTCTCATAAAATAGACTCTTTAAGAAACATACCTAGTGGGCCAAAAAAAAAAACCTACAGAATCAAGTATTTAAGAATTTTTAGGGTATATTTAGAAATAAATGTTTTGAAGACAAAAATTAAACATGCGGTCTTTGAGTGATTCCCGCCTTCTCCGCTAATGAAACAAGAAAATCCTGTACCAGCATATATTGTCCGTACGAAAAAATATGACTAAACGGTAGAGTTTAAAAATAATGGAATTATTCCATAATTTTGCTCGTTTTCGGCCTGCAAAGTAAATTTGAAAAATGCAGTTTTGAAAAAAATCGCGTTTAAAGAAAAGCTCATGGATAGAACTGAGCTGCTACATTTTAGAAGGCTGAAATAGATGAAAATAATATATTTTTTCTAATATCAGACTAAAAGTATATGCACCATAAAAATGACTTTGTAGCATTTCGTATATTTTTTTTTTGCCGTAATATCAATTTACCGGCGTATTATAGTTAGACCAGTCCAGTACATAGATCAGGCGGTACCTGAAAGCAATTTTGAAAAACTCAAGTTCCTTCTGCTTCTCCTATAACTTTATATTTTTCGAATTCTCAAATGTTTTGTGTTTCAGAAACCACAGTGCCTCTGTCAGTTCAGTTACTCATTCACTTGCTCACTCGCGTTTGTCGTGGACTCGTATGTGACATGAGGACAGTGTTTTTGCATTTTCAACGGATTTGTTTTTGTTTTGCTTTGAATACGTCGGATTTGGTCGTTTTTCATTGTGTTTATTTTTTTCGTTGCCTCATATTCCGGCATTGCCCATTGCCCGTTGCCCGTTGGTGGTTTGCATATTTTGTTGTCTCAGCCGTCGCCTGTCTGCTGTCTGAGTGTCGTCTTCTCTGTCTGCAGCGACTTAGCCTGCAGTCAGTCAACCAGCTAGCTAGTTAGTCACTTGGTCTAACTTTCAGTGTTCTTTAGTCTGAGGCGTCTATGCGTTCATAACGTGTCGTTTGTTTTCCAACAAAATCGAGCGAAATAAAATTTTTTATCAACTTCAAATAAATACTATTTTCAAAAAGTATACATAAAACGAGGTGTGCGTATTCGAAAAAAATATTTTTTAATTCGTGAAATTCTCCCACAAAGCTCCGAATATATGTGGCACTAATTAAATCAATAAAAGTTGATGCCTAGTGAAGTTTGAAATAAAAGAAAATTAAATGTAATAAGCTTAAAAGTGGAAAATTAAATGAAATAAATTTGTTTGAGCTCTTTCGCAATGCGTCGTATGTTGCTTGCGTGCAACAAAGCTGAAAGCGACGCGCCTTGAGTGTGTGCAACGGAAGTGGGAAAGTGCGAGCGTACGCAACCGAATATACAAGCCATACACACATACATACATATGTAAATGCATATATCCGTTTCATAAACAAAAAAAAAAAAAAAATTAATGAAAAAAGATAAAGTAAAACTAAAAGTTCCTCATGTTTGTTGTCAATCTTCTGTGCCGCAAAGTGTAGCGAAAATCATTTTCTTCGAAAATTTATTGCAATCCATGAGCCAATAGTCAGTCGGTGGATATAATCGACGCACTTGCACAATTTTGAGCGACATTGGAATTTCGTAAAGCAAGAAATCAAATAAAAATACAAAAATTACGAATAAAAATAAATTAAATAAAACGTAAATGTCTGGGAACATCGGCGTCGCGCTAAAAGAATTTATTTAATTGCTTATTTTTATAAGCTATAAAATTGTGCGGATTAAAAATAGTCGCCGTAAAATGAAAATGGCTAAGAAGCAAAGGGGAAGGTAAAGCAGCGCGTACGAGCCTCTTGTGAATGATGCGTGGAAATTTTTGGAAAATTAATTGCGACGTTAAAACGTGAAACGCTTGCTTCTACGATTGCAACATAATTTAGAATGCTAGAAAAATGTCTTTAGTTGCTTAACTAAAATTTAAAAAAATGAAAAATTATATTTCCTTATATTTTGAAACTCTGTTTTTTAACCTTTTCCTTTTATTAGCATTAACTGACATTTATAATCATTTCGACATCCGAGAAATTCAAAGCTTTGGAGCTGAAAATGTCGATCGCAGTCTATTAATAAATTAATAAATAAAATATACTTCCAATCAGAATAACTCAGCTGTTTATGTACATAAATCTGCCCAAGCTTACAATAAATTCAAATCGGGGTTGCTTTTTTTAGTTGACTTCCATGTCTGATCACTTAACTTCAAATAAGACTTTCATCAGGAACCTTACCGTTTTTAACTCGAGTTCTGTTTAGAGCGAAATCGTGTTTCTTTAGAAAGCAGTCTCTGGCATTAAGCTCTTCCGGATTACCTCGGCAGGTGCATTACCTATTATACCAAAAGAAAACTATTCTAAGTATACACGGAGCTTCGTTTGAGTTTTCATTTACCTTCGGTCGTTTAACAATTGCTTAGACCGACAGATTCTGCTTTTGTTAAGAAAGATTTGTGGAGTGATAGTTTTGTTTATTTATTAACATATAGGTATTTGTTGCGGACACAAAGGTGAACTTTAAGATTTACCTACCCTAGGATTATTTTACTTCTCAAATTTTGCTTCGCTAGTTAGCCGTAAAGGTGGCAACATAAGAGTAGCTCTCTGCTAAGTGGTAGAGTTTACTAGACATCATATCGACACTATATGAAGCATATATGCAGCGGTCAGATCAATTACCATATTATTGTAGCAGCAGTTGCTTTCGATATCAATAAAATAAAAATAAATTCCTAAATTAAGTGTTATCTGCTTACATAAATACAAGTAGCTAATATAACGAATTTCACTAAAGTTTCCAAGTGTCGACCAGGAGTTTTTGCAATTCCTGTGATTATTGCTTGTTAAGCCATATTAAATAAATATCCACATAAAAAGTAGTAGTTGGAGAGAAATGGCTAAAGACCTAAACATAAAAAAAAATATCACAAATGTGTGTGAACTCGTGAAAATAATCATTATTAAAATCAAAGTAAAATGGCTTGAGTATAAATATGCACACGGACAGTATAAGGCAAAAGTATACGTACAAATGTAATAATCTTGGCTGGAATAACCTTCAGTGCCTTCAATGAATTTTGGATTTTTTGGTTTCGGCTAATTTTTTTGGGGGTTGAAGTCATTCTTGTCACCATACGCTAGATGAATGTATGCTTCTCAGCTACATTGTCAAACAACTTTTTTGCGAACCATAATCGACATCGGTTTTGCAAAAACATACAGATTTTGGCACGAGTCAAGTAAGTTTTCGATGACTTCATCATTTTTACTGAATGCTTTGGGCTCAAATCGATACCCTAAACCACTTTTTCATTATTTTCAACGATTCCGTAGCCGTGATTCCATTCGAAAGTTTAAATTTCAAGCAAACTCGAAGTTAAATTTTTTTCAAAGTAAAAATCGTAAACACACACTAACGAACTGGTATGAAGATCAAACTTCACACGTACCTTAAAATGAGAGTTGTACTAATTTAAAAAAACTTTTTTTTATTGATTCTGTTTGTTTTAATAGACCAGTCCGTGTCAAATCAGATGATATATATACGAGCAATAATATGGAATTTCAAACTTTATGGCGACCCTAGATGGGAGCAGAGAAAATATTCTGAAATAATTTTCAGCACACTTTAGTTTATTTCTTTTTTTTTTACTCTAATGTATGGAATTAGCTAATGTAAAACGTACAACTTTTAGTAAGACCGTCTTTACAAAGTCACCTCTGAGTAAATTTATTATCGTTAAAAGTTAAAAAATGTTTATATACTAAAGTTGACAAAATTTTTCATTAACCGTCTTTTGTGAAACACTGTAATCGCTACATACTTGTACATATATACTTTAACATCAACTGACATTTGACAGTTGATCGAGCGAAGTTACGCTCTTTCATATTCGGTGCCAACGTTGAACAAGTACACACACAGTATTTAATAAATATCTACAAATTATGTACTTATTTATCTATATGTATGTATGTATGCTTCTGAACTAAACTAAACAGCTTCGGGGGCAAGTAGCCTGGCACTGAATGTCACTGCTCTAGCTGCTCCTGCTCAACTATGTATGTACATATATACAAACAAACACACATTCTCACGCATACGTTCGCACATTAATGGGCATAAAACAAAAAGCTCACTAAATAAAATGCCATGAACTATGCGTAATGCAAACAAATCAACAAATATAACGATGAATATGCATAAAGGCTGGACAATATCACAGTAGCGTTGTCTATATACATATGTACATATATGTATATGTGTGTGTGTGTGTACTTATCGTAAGTGTATGGTAGATCGGTGATATTAAAGTCGTTCGAGTCAGCAAATTTTTGAATTTGTACATACATACATACATACACACACATTTGTGCTGCAATTGTGGCAAATGAAGGCAAATGACAAAAATACGGAAAAATTAAAGCAAATAATGATCAAAAGAAAATAAGCAATAATAACGAGACAAACAAATTTGTGAGAAAGCACAAACAGACAAACAAACAAATTTGCATGCTAAATAAAGTCTTGGTGGCAAAAGTGAAATAATTTATTTTGTCACACATGCGCACATGTATACGCGCATAGCGGTAAATGATATAAAATCAGAATCCCGTGATAATATTTAATGTGTAATTGCCTGTTTGTGATTGTCAACACTCGTGTGGCAATTGTTCGCTTTTGCGGCGCTTCTGTTCGTTTTAGTTGTAGAATAATATGATTAATATGGAGATTTGGAGTGCTTTTTGTTGTTGCGACCGTACGCAACCGCTCGCCGGTCAATCGGTTCCCACACTCGGCTGCTAATATCAAGTTTAGTCAGCTATTTATTTATTTAATAGATTTTTCGGGCTATCTCGTGCTCCTTAACCATTAACGCTTACCACCCAATAAATTCAGCGCAGCAAACTGTATTATTAGAAGTGTTATACATAGCAGTGTTAAACGAAAGTTGCTAAATAAAATTTCTCACGCATCATTCGCTTGACTGGTCTGGACTTCACGCATACCAACGCTTATAAGGAATTTATAAATTTATATAGACACACACATCGGCTCAAAATAATAGTTACAGCGAGAAATGTTAATACCGTTGGCGCTATAAAAAATAATTATGTATGCTATAATTCTAATAGCATAGAAGGGTGTAAAAATTTCATTGTCTTTTTACGGTGATTGTAGCGCTGTCTTGGACAATTATTAGTGCCGAATTTCGCGACGTTATCTTATCAAATAGAAAAGTTTTCCATACAAGAACTTGCTTTTGATTAGTCAGTTTGTATGGCAGCTGTATGCTTTAGTGGTCCGATATCGGCGATTCCGACAAATGAACAGTTGCAAAGGATGAAAATGACATATGCAAAACTTTCAGTTCGATATCTCAAAAACTGAGAGACTACATCGCGTATATACAGCTGAACCGACAGCCGGACATGGTTAGATTGACTCAGCTCATCACGCTGATCATTTAAATATACAAGTATACTTGATAGCGTTTCCGTCGTTTCCTTCTGGGTGTTACAAACTTCGTGGCACAAGTTCTTTTTATTAATTATAATAATATACAACATTTACTGTGTAACTATCATTTTGAGCCGTTGTGTCATTTATACACCAAATATTTGAGGTAGTATACTATATAAAAGTGTACACATGTAATTCGTAGAGCCAACGCATTCACATATTGACTGCAATTGTTGCTAGTCACCCGCATACAATACAACAACAAACGCAATTTTTCATTTACAAATGTGGAAGTGCCCGTTTTGTGAGCTTGAAAGTGCACATGTGAAGCAGACAACGAACATAGTTTGCAACAAACAAACACACATTTGAATGCTCGCTCTGATACACCAACAAAAACGAGTCGGGAAACGCGCGATGTTCAAGACTTTGATTTACGCAATTTTCGTTCGCAAGAAAAGTACTTCCGCTGCTGACGACAACAACATACAAATCAACACCAACACCACCAACAGCAACAACAACTACAATATCAGCGGCATCGCTAATATTAGCTTTGGCATTCTTATAGGCGTTGCCATTGCAATTTTAAACGCCAACATTCGTTCCACGCCCGCACTCACAATTGCCACTTAAGTGCAATACGAGAAGTTACAAGAAATACTCGTCGAAGTTCAGCACCCCAAGGAAGTTGCATACGACTTGATTTCGTTGTGACGCTTTTGCATAAAAAAATCAACTTGATGTATCAGCTGTGCCGATTGTATCAACGCACACATAAAGATTTAACAAAAATTCATACAAAATGGCGATTAATAACACCACCCGATCGACGACGACAAGAGAAGCGCTACGATAAACGTTACGAAGTGAGTGTCACCGTGTGATTTGAAAAATTGTCGACGAAAAATAAATTTTAAATTTATATACTAATATTAAAGCAGTTATATATATGCGAAAGTAGTGTGTAAAAGCAATCGAAAAAAGAAAGAAAAAAATAAACATACATATATGGTATATTAGTAGTGCTGGTGCAATTCCAAATAGTAGTATAGTGTTGCAAAATACTCCTACCACTCTAATAGCAGTGTTGTTGGGTGAAAAGGTGTGTCGCATTATCCTAAATATAATTGGTTAAAAAATTATTAAATTATTAAATTAAAAAAGTGTAGCAAGGTTTCGTTGTCAACTTTCTATTAGTGTTAGCGTATAATACAGCAATTAGGGAAATCAGCATATAAAATCCTCTAAAATTTCACCTACAACAAAAACCAATAAAATTTTCCACATGTGGCATCCACTTGCACGAGATCTGGCTTCACTCCTACAAGAAGCAGTGCAATACACACGCAACTTGGTGGTGTCTAAGGTAAGAAACAATGGAACAATGGGAGTCTTTAACTATTTGAATATAATTATGTTTTTTTCCAAATATAGTATATTTAAGTTTCGCCAACTCCTTAAAATAAGAATTAAACATTTTAGAAAACTCGAAAAAATTAATTAATTATCACATAAATTACAAATTTTGAAAGAAAAAAAAAAAAAAATTATAGTGAAATGAAACCTATTAGGAAAAAAAAATAAATGGGGTCGCGAAAAGTAGGGGATGTTTAAATTTTGAATGCTTACAAACGGTTTATTTTAATTTATGGCAACACTACGAGTCCTATGGAAAAATGTTGAATGACAAAGGTATAGACAATAAAAATATCTTTAACTTTTTTTTAAACATTTATTTCTCATAATCTCAAAATCTATGTGAAAAATTTAAATAACACAGTTTTCGCTTTTTTATTTCTGTTTGCAAAAAAAATCTTTTTTTTCACGAAATTTGATATAAACTAACCTTTTTATTATTATTATATCATAAATACACTGTAGTATTTCTGCTTTAAAAGATTATTTTTTACCTTATTTTGACTTAATAAAAAGACACTACTTTTCAATCGACGAATCAATGCCACGATCACAACAAATTTCTTAGAACAAAAAAAAGTAAAAGTTAAAAATAAATGTTGTCTAATTTTTGACCTTTAATCTCAAGTACTTTTTCCACATATCGGTACGTTGAGAAGTTTTAGTATGTTATTTTGAATTCTATTTTGAACATATTCACTAACTTTCACTTTCTTGTAATTTACGAGACTAACTTTCTCGTAAGCAACTTTGCTATTATTTTCTCTCTAATTTGATCGGACTAAATGTTTTGGTTCCTTCTTAAAATATTTATTTTTCAAAGTCAAGCTGTTACTTATGAAACTTTTCACCAACAAATATATAAAATTTTTTAAATTTGACAGCTTAAGCTTTAAGCAAAACTGAATCAGTTATTATTTCAATTGTCTCCTCTGACTATTTGTACGTAAAATAAAATTCAATGTAAAATAAACATCAAGAAATTCGTTTCTATTCAACTATTCAGAAAGATCATAATTATGAATTAGTTCTATTCATTCAGAATATAATTATAATAATAATAATACTCAAACTACTTTGTTTAGCTTTTTGGCTACATTAAGTCTGAAAATTTGATAGGCATAGCGAAGCAGAAAGTAGAAAAGAAAATGAAGATGTGCGTTACACCTTGCACTTCTTTAGCATTTAATTGAGCTATATTCTCAGCTTAATACAAACAGACATTGCTTGAGGCATAAAAATGCTTGCAACCTTGCAACTCTTGAATGTGATAAACTATGTACAACTAAAATGAACTGCTAGGCCTCTAAAGAGTTAGGGTTTTGCAGTCAATGAACTACACTTTTTCAAGAGCATAAATTGGGTTAGTAAAAAAGGTCACCAACATTGTTTATTTGATTCAAATCAAAGTGAAACTTTGGCAAATAATTTACATAACTTATGAGCGCAATGTGAGCTTGAGTTGAAAGAACTTGATTCACTACAATCGAAATTTGCATAAACGCCTAAGATACGCATGTACTTTAAACTTCTTCTGATAGCAGAAAACTTTAGTGGCGGCCTGACAAATCGCTCACTGCAGTACATTTGTGGTATTGAAGAAGGTCTAATCGTAGTTAACTTTTTATTAATGTTCATTTGTGTTTGTCCGACGTGATAACAATTGAAAATCCCATTTGTTTGGAAGACATATTAGTATCTTAATTACATAGATAAACTTGTATATATATAAAGGTTTTTATGCCAATTTCTAGATATTGAGCTGAATTAATACAAGTATTTACTTTCAAATTTAGTACTTGGTTGCGACACTCCCATTTATGGTATACATTTATTGTCATAATCTATTTGATAATAACCTAATTTGTATATTTTCTTTCAAGATATTAATGAGTCAATATTATGTTTTTGGATATTTTTGCGATTATTTGCTAAAATTGTAGGCAAAGATTATTTTGGTATGAAGTATTAGTCGAATTGTGATATTTTTGGATTTAATTTACCATGTCTATGTTTACCTTTTTACAGATTCAAAAACGTATTCAAGGCTTAATTCAAGGCTACTCGGTCGTTATTGTAATTAGTCGGTATAATTATCGATAACAGACGATCGATAGGTTTAAACTTTGAAGTTTGGCGATCACGTTTATTAAAAAAACAGATTGATTAGTTTTTCTTTTCGTATGTCAAACAAAAAATACTTTTAATTCACTTGTATGTCCGCAATTGAAGTATACTGCGGTGTCAAAAAAATCTGTTACAAGGTTCTGGTAATTTTCTATTTATTTTTAGGGCTATGTGTAAAAATAGCATCGCATATGAAACTTAAAAAGGAAATTATTTAATTTAATGAGGGTAATTGTGTTGAGGGCGCACACTTCCGCAGCGTCACTTATTTCCGCAATCACATAGATTTAAAAAATCTAGCGCACTTACTTAACAGACATACATATGTATACGCAAACATAAGCATATGCTCATATTGCGCATCAAGAATTTGAGGAAGTGAAGTATTGTTTCCAACTATATACATATATATGAATATGAATGTATATGACATATTACTGCTTATAAGATAAGCAACTCGTACAATATATTAAATATAAAAGTACATATCATCGGAATCAGAAAATGTGTTATTCTCCATAGTTTCTCAATCTTAAGTAGTACATAATTGTCTGAAGAAAAGTATTTGTTGATAGCCTAATGTGGGCTAGCATATCAGTTATTATTATTATTATTATTTACTTAGGTTATGTTATACCCTGAAAAAAGTTTTTAATACCCAGAGGGAAACATCGTAGACCCTATAAAGTTTATATATATTTACATAATTAGCGTGACGTGCTGAGAAGACTTAGCCACAACCACCTGTCTGTCCGCCCGTATGTATATACGCGAACTGGTTTATTAGCTTATGAGATATTGACCATGATATCGTAACCTCGAATATCTGCGTTATGGCATTCAAATAAAGTACTTTTATAGAAAACATTTTTAATTGAAAAGATATTATATCTTCATCACACTTGAACATCATAAAAGTGCTATACCCGCTATCTTCATTGCTACCAAGTTTTGTTTGCATATTTTAGTACAATAATTTATAGAAAACATTTATAAAAGATTATTACAACGTTTTTTAAAGCGAACAAAAGAACTTCTTCACTGGGAAAGAATCGTAACACTATTGCGTCAGAGCACATGTTAGCGCAGGATTGCATCACAAGTGCTGTCCGTTTGTTTGAGCATCTGGTATAGTTTGTTCGATTCGCTACTCTCCAACGCTTGGCGTATCGAAGACAGCTATATTAAAATTCCAAATAAAAAAAATTAGTTTATTTTGGTTTAGTACTAGTTGCAGTTGTTGATACATTTCTATATTCTTTATAGCCTACTTTTTTTAAATATAAAATGAAGAGATCCGAAGCGCAAAAAAAAAAAAACACTAGAACTCACACTCTACGCTTTCATAAATTTAATCCCAGGGGATTTACTGTATGTCGTAACTGCAATACTTTATGACTTATAATTACTTAAGTACATGCTATTGAAAGTTAACTCGTGTTCATTGTATTTCTGAGTGATAGTAGGTTATATTATAGTACAGTAGGAGTAATTAGACAGAAAATCACATTTAACAATAAATTTAAAGACTATTGTATAAATTAAAAACTAATCTATTATTGGGAAAAGTATTCAATTTTTCAAAACCAATTAAGTCATAAAAAAAACAGTTACATTTAGTTGCTCACCAGAAATTTGCTTACGTGGATGCCTTGTAGGATAAGCACTGTTTATGTACCTAGTTAGATGCTAGTGAAATTCGAATGAAAAGAACTTAAAGTTAAGAGCATGATTCTGGAGAGAGTGCTTCTTCTTACGAACATATATTTTAGTCCATAATGTCAAATAAAACCCACTTTTATTGGCGGAAATATTTTGAAAATGTCATTTTGATTTGTGAATCATAAAAACAAAGCAAAACAGCTGATTTTGGCATTATCAATGACAAATTGTATTATTTGGGCTATCAACACAACCTTATATAATTGAATCATGGTTAGCAAACAATCTAAACGAAAATGCTAGATTATCCAAAACTGTCTAAATTCAATGTAAGCTTGAGGTATTTTATGATCACATAGTGGAACTTAACATAACGTCATTTGATAATAATAAAACAATAGGAATTGATATTAATAAAGGAAGTAGAAGTAGTTTGAATTATCAATATCATATCAAGTAATGATATGTAAAAGCGTCTTTCTTTTCAAGGATGTTTAACTTCAAATTTAAATGGTTGTACAAATTTACTCCAACACCACTACCATTGATGTATTGGTTTAATTAGAAGGTTTCGCTATAATAAACTATTCTGTATTATGATAATTTTAGATAATTGAGTTATGAAGTGTTATTGCCAATTATTGTTTTTATTACTAGCAACTGTTTATATCTCTTTTATTGTCATTAATGCTAAGGGTATTCACGAAAACAATAAAAAAAGAGGAGAATAAAAAACGTTAACTTCAGCTAACCAAATCTACCCATTATTATCCCCATCACAGGTGCATTTCGTATAGGGTATAAAAAATCTTAATATTTTGATTGATCGGTTTGTATGACAACTATATCGTATAGCAGTCCGATAGGAGCGATTAGAACAAATAAGCAGCTTCTCGCGGAGAAAAGGATGTATGCTAAATTTCAGAACGATATTTCAAGAACAGTAGGACTTGTATACAGACGGACATGGCTAAATCGACTCAGCTTGTCACGCTGATCTTATATTTACATATGCATATACTTTAAATATCTCCGACATTTTCTTTGTATGTTAAAAACTTTATGGCAAACTACATGCCCCCTGTACAGGGTATAAACATGATTACATAATAACTAAAGAGATATTCAGGTCATACTACATGGCGTATACGCAACTTGTCA